TTCCACCCCAAATCCCGTTTAATCTGAACGAAAACCGGTCGAGAAACAGAGGAATCGTCCCTCGAGTTCGAAGAGGAATGACCGAAGGCAACGTGATCGGTCAGAATTAAATCGGGCCAGAAGGTGGGGCCATTTCTCGCAGAGACTTCTTCCCTTTGCCAAAGAATGACGAGTAGCTAAGGTAAAGAAACGAAAAGTGCAATCGCTGCTCCAAGTGCAAACACTTTCGCATTGCCTCTCTCTTTCTCTCTCTCTCCAATTCTCCGATCGCTTTTCCATTCCGGCTAAGAATATTACGAATCGTATAGATCGAGCCAGTTAACCTTCTTATTCGTGCGATTTGTACGAGATGGCCGATCAGAAGCGTGTTCCTGAAAGTGCCATTTGTATTCGGGAATCAATACTCGAGCTTGGTGCCGGTTTTTGCCTTTCCCCAAGCCCAGGGAAGTCTCATAATATATAATGTAACAGTTATGGTTCGAGGAAACGTTAAATCGTTCCGCGAGGAAGATCGATACGGCGGAGTCAGTGAATTCAAGCCGTTCCTCCTGGGCAATGTAATGATTCCTTGATTGTTGTTCAATCGAATGAACGCCCTCGATTTTGTCGCGACAGGGCTCGGTTCGTTAAATCCGATCGCTTCGTCGTTTTCGCTTTTCGAGCGAGAAAATATTCGGACCTTGGTGGCAAGAGTGAATAAAGATTGGAATGGTAATATTGCGTATATATTAAATTTGAAGATTTGAAATTTTTTTGCTTAATTTGAATCGTGAAGTATAATTTTCAAATTTATAATTATTTATAATTCTGACAATTCTATATCTATTTCTGTCATTTTTATATTTTAATTATACTATATATATATATATAATTTAAACATTCTGTTTATTTAATATATTATAAAAGGGAGGGTATATCGATCTTCCACGATCAAAAAGAATTTCCTTCTATCTTATGTTTAAGCGAGGCTTGGCAATATTTCTACATTTACTTTCACAAGAAGTAATTTTACAAGAAGCTACTAAGCGGTCGCATTGTCATAATCAAATTACGCTACATTAGAACGCTTATGCCCGAGTTATATCCACAGGAGCATCGTCTTTTGCGATTCATATTGTTTTATTCCGGCAGGAATGGAGTTGCTTTACAATTCAGCCAACAATGGATGCGTATAATAGAGCGATTATTGCGGAAAAGGGTCGTTGCGTCGAGCAAAGCAAGTCAGAGTATATTTCGCTCGCCCTCCACCATAGATTAATGCCCTGGAAACGGCTAAACAGGCAGTTTCTTAAATCGGTCTAAATCTTTAGTCGTTTGCTTTGAAGAATTGTCGTAATCTGTATTTAAATAATCGAGAATATAATAATATATAATATATAATAGTCTCAGAATCGTAGGGTGAGATAAAATTTTTCACAAATGGTTGTTCAGGATTTTAAAAATTCTTCTCGTTAAAAAATTCGCGCAATTTTAATAGTTTCAGAAATGTATGATGATCGTTGTTAATCGTTGTTCTTTTATAAAATAAGGTAAATACGGATGAATCGATGACATTTAAATGGCGTTGAAAGTTCGAATGCTCTTGGAAATAAAGGAATAAAGAAATGGAAATTCCATAAGAAGATGAAATTCTATACACGAGGCATATTAAAATTTTATAAAAGAAAATCATCGAAGCGTGGAAAAATGAATAACAATTGCAATAAATTCTATTCTTTGTGAACAATGCTATTGATTTTTACATTTATAGCAATGATGGAAAATTTATTTCAAATTTAACCATCATTCTTTTCATTCTATTCCCCTCCCTTTTTTTTCTTATCACAATTTGAAAATAAATTGAAAAAAAAACGAAGATGAGAATTAATTCCACAATTTGCTATCCGACACCTCGCCATTTTGGAAACTAATTCGTCCACTAGTTGTGTCGCGAAGGCATCTGTTCCATAAAGGGCCTCGACCCCTTTTAGGCTAATATCCCTGACTGGTATGAAGAAGGGCGTGAGTTTGCCATTTCGTAGAAATAGAGAGCCACTTTTGCAGATTGAAAATCATGTTTCATCCTTGGAGAAAAAGAGGTCGTGTCCAAATATCATTTTTCTTCGTGTCGTAGCCGGATTTCTCGTTGCTCCCTTTATCCTGATTTGCCAACTTTTTTTCTTTTTTTTTTTTTTTTTGCGAATTTAATTCTGTCCGCGAAAGATTATTCGGTTTTAGATTAGAAGCAATTTTCAAGAGTAATTAACTCTCTTGTTCGAAGCTGATTCCCTTCTACGATTTCAATACGATTTTTAAAACGGGCAAAGAGTTTTAATTGCGCATGTTATTATCTGCAAATATAAAAATAAGAAATTTCAAGAAAGTAGCTCTCTTGAATGTTAGTTTATTCGATATGTCTTATTCAATTAACCAAAGTGTCCTTCAATCTTTGAAGATTTTTCAAAGTTAAAAATCTTTTCTCTTAATCTCTGAACGTGGATCATCAGGTATTTCTCAATTTTTATTATATTATTTCGTGGAAATTTATTTATTGGTCGAGAAAGAAGGGATTTTCTTGTATAGAATTCCTTTTGATATATTTTGCAACTACTTTCTGGGATAGAAGTCTTGCTAGAAATTGTCGAGCAGTTAAAAAATTCGAACGATATATCGAATTCGAACTTCTTCCTCTTCTCAGGCATTTTCTCCTCATAAATCGTTGCCTACATCTACAAACACCTTCGACCACTTACAAAAATTACATTCCATGAAATCTTGTATCACGTTTCATGCGCGACATTTTTCGTACGTCAATGAACCTTTCCCTTTTTTTTACTCTCTCAGACATAAATAATTTATATACGTTCAATTAATTAAACAAACCCATTTATCGATTACATCATTAAGCATTAAACTCATTGAGACAAAATTTTCATGAAAAATTCCATCCTTTATCAATACCCTCGCTTCCTCGACTAAAAAAATACGTATGTCTCGAATTTCTCCTTCCCTCACCCTCCCCTCCCCCTTCTTCGAACCCAAAAAAAATAATATTTAACCATAAATCCTGAAGAACGCGATAAATCAAGCTTGCCAGACTTCTCTCCTCCCTCCTCCCTCCTCCTCCCATTTTACCCGTCCTTTTGCCCAAATTACGCAACACGGCCAAGACAAGAGCTTGTTGGAACAGAGAAGAAAGAAGAAAGAAGAAAGAAGAAGAAGAAGAAGAAAAAAAACAAGGAAAAAAGTCAGCCGGGGATATCGCGTTGCCGCTGTTAACAGCGGTCATAAATTCCCCCTCCCCCCCCCCTCCCCCTCCCCCCGTAGTAGAATCTTACGAGGTAGGATCGCAACGAGGTGGCCCCGTTCCCTTGCCAAAATAAGTCGTGTAGCGGCTTGTTTATCCAACGTTGTGTGCAACGTTGGCGGCATCCCATTACACTTTCCACTCGCGCTTTTCACTCGGGAAATTAAGATAATAAAGGGCAATTTGGCAGTCGCACCGGGATCACGGGACGCGGGGGAGGGGGGAAGGGGAGGGGGAGGGGGAGGGGGAGAAGTTAAATCTCTTGGCGGGCCAACTGCAGACGTATATTATGCTAATCCGTCAATATAATCGAGAATCCTGCCGCAATCCTGCGGTTCGCTCCGCCTTGTTTACGCTTCAACTCGCAAATAGAGGGGGGGGGGAGGAAGGGGGAAGGCAACAACGTTTAATATAATCGGTGGGAATTATCGTTCTACGCCGTTTTCACACTTGGAACGAATTCTAGTCCCAATTGTAGAACGATAATCACCTGGTCTATTGGGTTATTGCGAACATTTTGCGGCCATCTAGCTGGTCGAAGAGATTTTTCGTGGATGTATGAACTTTGTATCTTGTCCTTGCGACGATTATTAAAATTTGTGGTTTTTTTTTTTTTTTATTTGAATGAAATTATTATTATTGTACATTATTGATTTATTTCTTGTGAAATGTTAAACAAAAGTTGGTTGTAGATTGAAATAGGGGATGTATGTATATTATATATTTGCTTAGAATAATATTATTTATTTTGGAACGAGTATATTATTGTTGGATTTCGAGCAATATTTGAAATGGATCGTATATGCAGAAATAACTAAATAGGTTTTGGAGGCTGGTTATTAAATGTTTCAGTAATTGAATGTTGTACCGTTATAATGGTTAACTGTGTTTTGTTAGTAACCGTTGAAAGTTGTAGCTGTTTTAGTTGTTCTATCAATTGGTTCATATGTAATTTCGAATATATTGTGTATATATATATATATCTCAAATGATTTCTCTTGTTTGTAAAATAAGTTGTGTGATATTCAATAGAGATAAAATAAAGATATATATATATACATATATATTGGATAAAATTTTGTGAACGAAGACAATTAAAGTCTTGTTAAAGATGTTTGATATTTTCATTGTGACATAAATTCCTCGCTTAATGTTTCTATTTTTCTTATTGGGAATAATTCTTGTGCGGAATAAATATTAAAATCAGTGTTTATTTGCATGTCATCTAATTTATAACACGGTATAAAAGCTGGCACTTGGGTCACGACCCAAATCATAAACTCGACCTCGTTGAACGTTATTACGAATATGAATATTTTACAGAGGCAGATATTATTCAAAGTAGATCATTTCATAAATAAATATATTATCAAGTATCGTGAAATAATTCAAGGATATCAAAAGCGATATATACGATTTAATTATCTGTGAGCATTCAAGAAATGAGAAATGTATAATTATTTTTAATACTTTATATTTTTATAAATAATTTAACATTCATCATCTCACCTATTTTTCTGTAACACTTTTATTACCAATTTTCTATTCCATCATTGTAATTTTCATTATTTTTATCGTCTAAATATTTTTCTCACTTTATTTGCAATTTTTCGAATACGAGATTAAACAGTTAATCATATTTATATTTTAATTTTATAATCTCCAATCTATTCACGAAATTATATTTTAATATTTAGTATTCCATATATTACAGGTAAGAGGCTTTTACAATTGATACCTTAGCTACGTTCCACGCTTGATACTCCACCTAGTAAATGGTAAGTGAATTCATCGAATCTTATTACTCGAATTTAATAAATTTAATAATATATTTCATTTAATAATATATAATTAAAATAAACAAGAATTTATTATTAAAATTATTACATTCGATATAACTCGATTCTTATGCTGGAAATTATTTATTATCTTAAAAGTTTCAATGCGTGTTCCAATTATTTTATATATGTATACGTAAATTAATCACGTTACATATTATATTCGAGACACGATAGATCGGGTTCAGGTTATCAACATTGTATAAATATGTATTTATACAACGCTTGTGCGTTCACATCCCTCTCTACTTACGCAAAATCGTGTTTGCGTTAGAAATATCGGAGGAGCATAACCGATTAGCATTATCGATTCGAAACAAATCTGCTTGTCGAGAAAATGCAGGGCAACCTTGCTTGCTCTTGATCTGATAGCGTTAGTCAAAATGCTTCGCCATTGGTTACATCAGTTTTAACCTCCTCTATTTTCGGTGTTAATATTTTTTTTCTTTCGAGATAGGCTACAATATTTTAGAATCATTTAAATATAATTTCAATTCTTGATTCATTGGAGTTAATCAACTCATTGGTCACTCTTTTAATTACATCAATTATATTTTTTCAAATTTTATGAATCTCTCTTCAAACTTTCATCCTTTCGAATCTTCGATTCCTAAACTTCTTCTTCAAATTTCCATCGAACAAAAAATCAAAGACATCCAACCAAATATCTTTACAAAACTTCTGAGAAATCTGAAATTTCTCTTCTCGAGAAATTCAACTCGCATCCTCGCAGTTTATTCTTCAGTTTAATCGCGACTTATTCTTTCTTATTGGAACACGTGATTTTTTCTTCTTTTCGTTGGGGACGTAGTCGAACGACAGGCATAATCAGGGGATATTTGGCAGAAAGTCGTAAGCGGGGTCCCAAAAGAATCGGGCATAACGACGCCAGCCCCGATTCCGCTGAAGAGAGCCACATACACTCGTGTATTTATTAGTTGGATTTGCCTGGGATATCGTCGGCCGGAGACCTCAGCCTCTGACGTCGAGGCGAGGTTACGACGTCTACCCCTAAGCCGGGCATCGTCTCTTGTAATTCCACCTCGAACGATATGCAACCGCTGTTCGATTAACCCCGAACCGCTCAACAACCCTTAATTTCGTGGTTGCTCGTTCTGAGGAATTTAATCGAAGAGGGGTTAAGAGGAAGGGAGTTGATGCAACGACAAAGAAATTATATAGTTTTTACCTTCTTCTGCTAGTTTTAAATCGAAGATTATAAAATTATAATAAATTGCTTTGAAATATTTACAAGTCTATGGGGATGATTTTCGTGTATCTTTGTATTCTTGTAGTTTTAGTATTTGTGATATTTAAATCGTGATCAGCGCGTTGAAATATACTGGGTAATTTAAAATAATCATTGATATTCTCTAGATACGTGCAAAGTAAATCATAAATTATACATAGACAATAATCAATCATAAGATTCAGAAATTTTTATTCAGAATGTATTTTGTATGAGATGCGTATTTGCATGAAAATCTATTGATAATTGTGGGCTAATAGTCGTCGAATTGAAACTGGAGGAGATTTCACTAGCAGATCTTGCATATACATTGAATCATAAAATGAGATTACGACGATTAGAAAGAATATGAAGCGTAGGATACAAATATTCTTCTCGTAAATTGCATCTGGATCGTTGGATGCAATGGTTCCTCGAAAAGGTAGCTGCCGTCATCGTTGGGCGATATAAATAAACTCTTTGATTATTTCTCGCGGGTATATCGGTTCTGATACGCAGTAATGGAGCAAAAGCAAACACAGACACGTAGACGCGTGAACAACAGTGGCCGAAAAGCGCTTTTAAACGCTAATGGAAGATGCGATTTGAGTTTGAATTATTTTTTTCCACCGATTATTTTATATTTTAATGGAAAAAATAATGGAGGGGTAGGGTTCTTAATATATATTATTTTTTAAATCGATATAAAGTGTCGTTTCACGAATTTGAAGGAATTAATATCTGACGAATCATGAATAATTTTTTGTGGTATATTTGTCTCGTGTATCGTCGCTATTCTCAATTGAGAAAATAAAAAGAAAGACTTGAGATAGGGGTTAAAGCAAGATGGAATTTTGATTTTAATATGAATTTAAACTCTAATCACTGCAAACAGCCAGTAAAAATAATTTTTACTGTATGAAATATTGATATTAATATTTCGATAATAAAATATCTGATATTCTGAGTTGTCATTAATAAAAAAAAAAAAAAGAAACGAAACAATTTTCAATCTCCACATTTTAATTTCGGAAATACTTGATTTTAATTTTCACGCGAAACCTCGACCCAGCAGCAATTAGCAGGGACAACGAAACAATCGAAAAATTATTATATATAAATATATTTGATAACAAGATTTACAATGCAAATTATTTATTTTATTTCGGGATATGCAGCCGTGTTTCGATAATAACACACAAGGAATATTTAAATACTAATGCTTCGAACCATCAATATTATTACTCGAATAATTTCAACTATAACGTTGTTGCATAATCAACGTTCCGTTTCATACGATTCGAAAATATCGAGTGTCGAATTTTCGAAGATCGGCTCGATTTTAATATTTCAACGCTTCGTCGAGAAACGAATTTTGATGTTGATTCCCTTTTAAAATCCTTGGGAAACGTTTTTAAAACATTGTCGGATACAGGCGATGTGTAAACGTAAAACGGGGTGCATCAACGTTAAGGGATCAACGTCAATCCACGTTGGATAAGGGGTGCATCTCGAATATTATTGCGCTCGAACGTTTTGTGTCGAGAGTTTTATTTTACATCCAACTCTTTTCCACGCGTTCGTGAAATTAATTGAGAAAAAGCTTTTCGCGAGATAAAAAGTATATCGCGTTGATCGTACGATGCTTTTTTGATATGTAATTTTGATAAGGTGTGCGGGACACGGAGATTGATTTTGAAAATTATTGAATAGATTTTCAAAAGTTACTTATAATATATATTTTAAATATAAAGATAATTTCTTTTTCTGAAAATTTTTTAGAAATATTTTTATTACTATTATTTAATGGAAGGTAAAAAAAAAGAAGGATGATACGCATTAAATTTAACGTAAATGGCATTGAATTTTAGTATTTACGCTTTTTATAGATATTTAATGAATTTATATTTATTTCGGATTTCTACTCAAATGTGCCAATTCGTGTAAAATAATACCGTAATTATACGGTATTCTCGTGCCAAATACTTTAATTCATGCGATAAATATGTCGTGACTCGTGCCAAAAAATTTGGAAAAAGCTGGTCATTGAACAATATGAATAAAGCATTAAATAAATATATCATTAAAAAAGATATTAACTTTTTAATTGATTAAAAATTTTGTTATTTTATACAGTTTGCATTCTATATGGGTAAAGTATTAATTTGAAAAATCATTTTTCAAAATAATTGAATTTTTTTAAGATTTTTAAGAACGTAGTAGTTTTTAGAAATGATCACATTATCTTCTTAGAAATAGAGAAATAATAGTTTTCGTGTGCCAAAAGGTACAATGTATTTGATGTGATCATTTGACAATTTCTGTAGAACGAAACCTTTCATTTTACGATAATCACAATTTATATTTGTAAATTCAAATTTATAGCGACAGAAACGGAGCGTTCAAGAAATATAAAATGGGTCATACGAAATAATTCAGTAGAATGTTAAATATTTTCTTTTGCTTTTCAAAATTAATATCTTTGATCATAAAAGCTATAAAGTTTTATTTTCAATTAAAACAATTCGTGAAAAAAAATTATCTTGGAACATCAAATGTCTCACCTAAATACGATTTTTCTCGATTTTTTTTTTTTTTTTTTTTTTTTTACATCACGATTCATACAATTTTTGTGCAATTTTTTAAATTCACAGACGCCTTTGATCAATAACTCTCAACACCTCATGCTATTTTTTTTCTTCTCTTACACAATTATTACACAATTATTTTATTTAACGTAAGATACAAAATACATTTTCAAAAATTATTTACTGAATTATTTGGAATAATTCATTGATTATCACCGTATCTCAAGATTAATTCTGAAATTTGAAATACATTAATTATTATACACTTGCCCAATTAATTTCCACGATATCTCCACTTCTAAAGTTATTATTCTTTAAACATCACCCCCTCGTAACTACCTTCCCTTTTCTTAAAAAAAAAACAACTTGCATAAACGCTACGCATAAATCTATATGCTTAATATTTATCTGAAACAACAGACACTTTTGCAGACGATATTTTCCCCAAAGGGGATACGTAAATACGATTACACGCGAGCTCCGGTTAACGCGTGTATTCCTGCTAGCGAATTCCGCGTATACCATTCTACCCAACCGTAAAACTCTATCCCTTCTCACCTGGAGCAGAATGCAAAAGCGACGAGCAAGAATCCAAAGAGGCGAGAGTAGGAGAACGAGAAAAGGGAGCAAAAGAGTGGGAGCCTATGGCACGTGGTGGATCTTTCAGAGATCACAGAGAGCGAGAGATCCAACGGCGTTAAAGGGCTCTCCAAACCTCTTTTTCGAAACGAGGAATAGGGGCTCGTTTCGGGTTACCCTTTTGGACGCCACGCGAAAACAACACGCGACTCGCTCGAGAGTTGCGCGCAAGCGTGTGCAAGCGTGTGCGAGCCGAGCCGAGCGAAGATTTGGAGCGGAGCCAACGCCTCCTCTCTGACGCTGCATCTGCATTTCGCAGATGTGAAAATAGCACCAGGACCACTAATTCGTATCTGCATATTCGAGGCTTCTCGCGGAGCGCTGCCATTTCCCTAATTTCCAAATGGAATGACGTAACACACGCGAAATACCGACCACGAAAATTCGATTTTTCTTTTCTCTTTTTTTCTTTCTATCTATCTATCTATCTCTCTCTCGCTATAGCAATTTTTGCGATATCGACCACGAGATCCCCTCGCTCTCGT